GGTGTGGCGAGCTGGGACCGACGCTGCGAGCTGGGACCGACACGGCGAGCTGGGTCCGCTGGGACCGACGCGGCGAGCTGGGTCCGACGTAGCGAGCTGGGTCCGACGCGGTGAGCTGGGTCCGACACGACGAGCTGGGAGGCGCGGGGAGCTGGAGAGCGGGGGCTTGCTGCCTGGTGCCTAAACCAGTGCGCGACCCACTGCCGCCCGTGCGCTGACGTCGACGGCGCCGTCACGCCGCCACGGCTCGACGTCGCCGATGCCGCATCGGCTTGACGTCGACACCACGATGGCGCGACGCCACGGCAGCGCGTCGAGACGGCCGCGGCAAGGCTGCCACGGCAGCACGACAAAGCCGCCATGGCAGCACGACACGGCCGCCACGGCAGCGCGGAAGTAACTAGAAGAGAGGGGGTACGCGGCGGAAGCGTGAGGAGGCGACCCAGCAGGGCGGACCTACGGCTCCAATACCATGTTGAGACTAGAAAGAATGATAGCTAGGAGTAGGAGGAGCCATTGAAGTGGCGTGGGGTTTTAGGTTAGGCAAAGTGTTGAGGGAGAAGGAGGTTGGACTAGAAGAGAAGGAGATACAAGAAGGGGGGTAGTCCCCTCTACAGTAGGATTCAATAAGTAGCATAACCAAGCCTACAATTATATATAAATGTATATAATTTAACAGGAAGTAGCTGAAGTAGGAAAGGCTGTTGATGTTTGTTGTAGTGATCGTGCTTATATGCACAGTGGACAGGGTGATGGCATTAGAACCTTACCTTGACTCAAACAGGGTATTGACATATTTTTTATGAATTCACCCTGATTTTCAAAGGGTGTTGAAAATTCCACCCTAGGAGGCAGGGTAATTATGTAGCGGTAGCCTAATTCCCAAGGGTGCTTCTAAACCAATTTTGGGCCCTGGAGTACACCCCCAAAACAACTATTGAAAAAAAGTCTGCTATTTGGGGGCCTGGTTGTACTCTCTAAGAGTACGCACCTATCTAGCCCATAGCAATATATATAAATATATGTTTGACACAAGGCTAGGCGAGGACCTTGAAAGGCCAGGTTAGGAACCAGGCCTCTCGATATCAGGGTAAAATAGGCTGATGACTCTTACTATAAGGGTGGGGTGCGGGTTGGACCCTTATTTTTTTTAGTACTTTTGGCCAAGACCCTTATGAGAAAAAATCAAAATTTGTATGACCCTTATTTGTAAGACTGCTTGAGTGTGCGTACGCTGATGCGGAAAAGCGCCCCTGGGGCTGACCCTTACACAGGCACACATGCACCCCCCCCCCCCCCCTACGGGCTATCCCTTGGCCCCAAATCACGCCGAAATCATCGGCGTCACGTGGATCTTCGGCCCGACGGCGCGTGGCTTTCAGAATGCAGCGCCAGTCAAGGAAAAGACTACTATACTTGACCCACCGTTCTACTGTACCATACTTCCCTAACCTATAGCGGCGTATACAGACAACGGTTACAGCGCGCATGCCAACGAGGCAGCATGCTGCCACCCATGATCCTTTGTTAACGTAGTGGCACGGCAAAGTTTACGATTGGTGGGATTGGAGAGGCCCCAGCCAAGAAGCCCACACATCTCTTTCTTTTGCAAGTTCTTCTACCGTTTCTTCCATGGCTGTTCTTTACTAGCAATTCGCCCGCGTAAGATCATTACGCTCGTCCTCCGTTTCTTTAGTAGAACCTCGCCTTCCTCTCCCCTGCAGCTATGCCCACCGCCGAGAGTGACGAGGATGAGGATGGTGAGCGTCAACGCTCACTGTCGCCTCCGAGAACTGCGCTTAGTTTTCTCGCGCGATCGTCGACGAAACTCGCAGGGCATAACGTGGTCCCGCCCCCGCCTTGTGCTCCTTTGCCGTAGACGGAACCAGTGACTGTCGTCACGGGAAGTAGGCCATCTGTCGCATCCGTCCCTGTTTCCGCTGCTGCTGCTGTGCCTGCGCCAAGCCCCTTGTCTCCAGGTGTCGCCACGTCATCGGCGAAGCACAAAGCTCCGTCAATGTCGGCCCAGAAATGGGTGCAGCAATGTCTACCGTTTGCCCGCGATGCCGCTGACTCCCCCGCTCGTGACATCCCCAGCGACGAGAAATCTGATGGCGAGGAAGACGACAGTCCCCCCGAGGCTGAATCTGGTCGCGATCCTCTCACTGCCTTTTCTGTTGCGCATCGTCGGTTTAAGGGATCATGGGAGGCTTCTTTTCCGTGGCTTCTGCTAGATAAGTCTAGCGAAGGTTTCCCTCTCTTGCGGTGCAGTACATGCATGGAGCATGGGATCTTGGGTGCAGATACGAAGTACGGAAAAGGGGGCACCGGCGGAGTCGACATGCAGAAGAACAGCATCCGCATGCACCAATGCTCCAATGCTCACCGCGACGCTGTCGGGCTCGTGAAAGCTAGGGACTCTAAGAAACTGCGGCAGGCGTTGCTGGACGAGTACGAGGGGCTGGACCGGTCGAATCTCCATCTAATCACCGCTATGAAGACAGCGGTCTACACCTGCCAGTCAGAGGCGCCTGTGACGTCATACATCAGGTTCAATAAATTCATGGCGTCACTCGACACCCCCAACCTGCCGCTCGACCAAAAGGGAGCTTACTTTTCGGAGTATGTGGAGCGAGGTCATTTGTACTCTTTGTTTTTTATGCTTTCCTCGTCGTGGATATGCATGAATTGTAACATTGAGTGTCTTGTTCCTAACCGATTAGTGTTTCTTCTTTAACCTTGTGCATGTACGGCTTCAACGAGCTGGTTGAAGCCGCTGCCAAGTACTTGCGCGAGGAGCAACTGCGGAACATTGCCACCAGCCCCTACATCGGCATCGCCCTTGATGAGTCCACCGACCGTGTGCGGGGCAAGCACCTAATAGTCTACGTTACCTACATCAAAGACGGCTTGGTGAAGACAGAGTTCCTTGTCCTCCTCACAGTGGAGAAGTGTGACGCGGCGAGTCTCCTTGATGTATTGCAGACTTATCTTCGGTCCGTGGGCATCGACCAGGAGCGCATCGTCGGCATCAGCACCGATGGGGCGTGCGTAATGACTGGCGAGCGCGGTGGCCTGGTCGCTCGGTTGCGGGCGCAAATCCTTCACCTTCCTTGTGTCATGTCACTGCATCGCCCACCGGTGGGATTGTGTATTGTTTTTCTTTTTGCGCACATCTTCGGTCATTTCTGTTTTGTTATTTATCGTCGGAATTTATACAGCTTTCTGTGATCGACACTAATTGTTACCCCGAATTCACCCCCTCCCCTCCTCTCTATCGCCTGACAGGGAGGCTCTGGCTGCAAAAGATGCTGCTGCAAAGGTGATAGAGTTCGCCATCGTCGATCAAGTCATCCGAACCGTGTCGGAGCTGCTGTCGCGGAGCGTGGTATGGTATCGTCGCTTCAAGTCGCTGCAGGAGATTCTCTGCGACACTAACCTGGAGATGCAGGGAATCTATGACGTTCGGTGGTTGTCGCGGGGTGCTGCGGTGAAGCGATTTGTGAAGCTGCTCCCGGCCGCCATCGCACTTCTGCACGAGTACAAGCACGAGCTGTACCACGTGGTCAATACTTTCAAATTCCATTTTCTCGTCATCTTCCTCGCAGATGTGCTCGACCTCATGAACGAGCTTAACGGAGAATTTCAGAAGCAGCAGCTAAGCATCAAACCCGTGGTGATGTGGTGGTGTTCTCTTAATTTCCATGGACTAATGCTATTATTTCTCCCCCTTTCAACACTCCCCACCACAGGTAGACATCACGCTCGGGGCGGGGGAAGTGTCGCTGGCGACGCGCAAGCTTGACGTGCGGTACATCGAGTGCGAGAATGGATTCGGCATCGACTCCCCGCTGCTGAAGATCTTCGTGCTAACGGAAGAGCCGTGGGAGGGTCAGAAGGGCAAAGGCGACTACGGCACCTGCGTGCAGTTGTGCAGGGAGTACGCAAAAGAGGCGAAGGCACGGCTAGAGGCTCGGCTGGATGACCTCAAAGACCTTGAGGGCGCCAAGCTCTTCCGCGGGGGGCTCTACCCTGACGATTGGTCGTCGCTGGTGCGGAAGTGTCGCGACTGGCTCAAGTTGCTTGACAAGCTTTTCTACCACTCCCTGCTCGGTATGTGTCTACCGTTGTCAACCCCTCACATGGTTGCAAGTTCAAGGCATCGTAGGTTGTGCATGGTAACCAAGAAGCCTTGTCTATGCGATGTAACGTTGTATATAACTTTGGATATAACTTTGTTACCTTCCTTCCCCCGCCCCCTCTCCTATCCCCCTCCCCTTCTCCTCCTCTCCCTGCCCCACTAGATGTGGATTTCAAGGAGTGCGTGCTGGAGCTGACGCTGTTTATGCATACCATGAACGCCAACCACGCCAATCTGTCGTTCCACAAGTCGCTTAAAGTCATGATTGACAGCACAGACTACACCGGCGCGTACCCAAACCTCATGCGGCTTTGGCAGGCTGTCGCTGTGCTCCCGCTCAGCACCGTCGAGTGCGAGCGTGGATTCAGCCGCCAGAACCGCATCAAGTCTTGGACGCGGAGCTGTTTGGGGGACGCACGCTTGGGCGACTTGATGACCGTCGCCCTCGTCCAGTGCAACCCCATGAGCTAGCTGAAGATGGTGGAGATCTTCAACGCCATCAAGGACCACCGCCCTGCGAAGGAATTCAAGCCTGTCGATGACTGAGGGAGCATGGAGAGCAGCACCAGCGGCAGCAGAATGAGAGCCGCAGCACCACCACCACCAGCACCAGCAACACTAGCAGCACTAGCAGCAGCACGGAGGGCACAAGTAGCAACTGTTGCGTCCCTCAGTAGTAGCACGATTCGGCATTAGGAGCAGGAACTATACTGGATCCTGAATGTTTGCTGTGTTCGTGATTTCAAATAATCCTAGTATGATTGTGATGAATCGAAACAACACTTTATCTACAGACAGTCAGCCTGACATTGCATCATACCCATACGTAGATGAGTAATTTTTTTGGGGACCCATATATAAGCCTGGGCAAAATTTCTTGGCTTACAGGAAAAAGTACTTTCAGGGGGCTGGGCTGATGATAATGAGTACCTCAGATCCTATATCGAGGCCTGTTGGGAACATGCACGATCAGCCTCGGATCGGATGGCGAGGGTACTATATAGAGGCTGGTCCGGCTTCTGCGATGCACTACCACTCAGGAAGGAAAATACCCACGAGCACAGTCCATGTGATGTTTCAAGGCATGGTCCATCTGAATTCGTCTTCAGGATACGCGTGTGATGATAGGCCGGCCTGATAAGGTGCCATAGGAACACGCCAGAACGAGACAGACAAAATGTGATGGTGGTCGGTCAGGGTGGAACTGAGCTGAGACTCCTGGACAAGTTGATGAGCACGAGGGCTCTGGGTAGTGAGAGAGGGTGGGGGAGGAGGGAGGGAGGTGGTGAGAGGGAGAGAGAGAGAGAGAGAGAGAGAGAGAGAGAGAGAGAGAGAGAGAGAGAGAGAGAGAGAGAGAGAGAGAGAGAGAGAGAGAGATGGGACATGGTGGAGGAAAACAGGAGGCGGGGAGCAAGGGAGGGAGTGAGAAAAGCCGGGACGGAGTGAGGGAGGATGCTTGGAGAGTGGAAAACGGAGAGGGGGAGGGGGGGGGGGAAGGGGGGGAGGAAGGGAAAGGAGGAGGGGAGGGGGGGGAGGAGCAGGGGAGCATGTTGCAGAATACAGGATGGCAAGACGGAAGAGGGAGCGAGAGAGGATAGACTGAGAAAAGGTGAGACAGGTGGGAGCGAAAGAGAAAAGCGGATCAAAGGCCAGGCAGAATAAGTGAAAGCTCAGCGGAGGGGGTGATGGGAGATGAAAGGGGAAACGAGGAGAGGGAGGGGGAGACGGGAGAGGAGGAATAGAGGGAAGAGGGGAGAAGGGAGATCGGCCGGAGAGGACGAGGAGAGAGGTTAACAGTGGCGGGAGGTACGAGGGGCGGAGGGAGGGGACGGATGCAAGGTGGGAGGGGGGGATAGTGGGAGGCAGGGTGGCGGAAGGTGAAGAACCGACCGTCAGGAGAAGCGGGAGGGAGTCATGGAGGAGGGAAAGGGACGGGGAAAGTTTTGAGGGATGTAAGGGGGAAACGGGAGGAAGGCATATGGGGATGATTGGGAGGAGGTGAGACGGGGAAAGAGGTCGGGAGGTGAAGACATAGAGAGGGAGGCGAGGGGGAGCAAGGGAGGGGGGTGAGAACGGAGGGGAAAGCGTGCTGTGAGGATGAGGGCGCGAAGGCGTTTGATGATGTTGGGGGGGGGGAGGAGAGGGGGTGGCGGTTCGAAAGAGGGGGGATGGAAAGGTGGTGGTGGGAGGGGGGGGGGGGGGGGAGAAAGTGGCTAAGGAGGAGGCCGAATAGACTGATGGGGGGAAGGAGGAAGAGGAAGAGGAGGAGAAGGTGGAGGATGGGAGAACAAATAGTTACACCAATTCAGAGAGGAGCAGCTGTAACTATAGCTCCACTTAGGTAGAACCCCTCGGCTTTCATCCCTGTAGAACGTTAAAATAATTATTCATGCTTCCAACCAACATTCAAAATGGGCATATCGTTACAAGTAACGGGCTCTTTCGTTCACCTCCTACACACCCATTCCTCCACCTACAAGTAATGCTCAACTGCTGCCATTCTCAGCCTAATTCCTCCCCCACCAGCTTTCTCATCGCACCCTTCCCATCGCACCGCCCCTTCACCCCGAGCAAAGCTAATAGACCAGAATAAGAAGTCCCAATAAGCGACTAATTCTCCTTATAAGCCCTCGTCTAGTAAAGCGTACAGCCAGAATACAAACCTGGGTGTAGACTCTCCTAACGGGAGCTTCGTAAGCTCCTAACGAGAATCAGTACTGTTGTTCCTCGAGCTCCATGATTTGATTATACGCGCCGCGGTACTGCAACCGAATGCGCATCGTCGGGGACCATAGATGAAACTCGATCTCGTCGCCGTCCCGATATAAGGGGCTCCGCTTCTCCAGATCCTGCGCAGCCTCCGCGGACTTCATTATAATCACCCCGTCGCCGCTGACGCAGAAGGTGATGTGCTCCGCCAGGCACGCGGAACTCCCGTTAGAGGAGGTCCCGTTAGAGGTCCCATTAGAAGTCCCGTTAGAAGTCCCGTTAGGGGTCTCGCCAATGGTTCCGTCAGAGATGCCGTCAGAACTCCCGTTAGCGGCCTTAGCTCCCACGGTATTTGTAGTAGCAGTAGTAGTAGTAGCAGCTTTATCCACGAGTACGCTTTCGAGCCACTTGGTCTTGGCCTCGCGGTCGTGCTCGAACAGCGTCGGGAACAGCGCGATGACGCCTCGTTCCTTGAGCTCCGGATGCATGCGCTCGAACGCGTCGATCCTGATGAGCTTTGGGACGAGTAGGACTACCATTGGAAGGGCTTTAAGGCGAATAGGTGGTGGAGGTGGAAGGGGGAAGTAGGTAAGGGAAGAAGGCTAGCCGTGGAAGACGTCCCTCCAGCGTGCTAGCAGTCTGCGAGAACTAGTGTCGTTTACTGGACCGGGGAAGACTTAGAAGAGGTATGCGTGACCTTGGAGTGCTTTTCCAGTACATCCAGAACGGAACTTAGTCGGGTCTCTGTCTGAAATGAGTGCAGTGATCGGAGGGGGCAGCGGTATATTAGAGAATCTTGTAGACAGGGCTACACCGTCAAATACCAAATCTCACCCTCTTGACTCTTCAGTCTCTAGACTAGACTCGACCTGGCTTCGACAATAACGAAGCCCCCCTCTTTTGTCCCCACTGCTTTTCCCTGCTACTTCTCTTGATCCCCTTTCCCATGCTGAAGGGCCGGAGGTTCGGTTCGTACCAAACGACGGGTGGAATCTCTGACAGGACGCGGAGCCGTCTCCCTGGCCTGTCAACTTTGATTCCTTGTATGCTGCCCGGGTTGGTATGACATGACGAGTGTATCACTGTCCACTGAACTAGGACGTACAATTTCACCCTAACAAAAATTACTATCCCTCATCTTGGGTATTTGTTTTGGTTGATGTGACTGAAAGTGATGTAAGCAAGGAGGTGAATTCCGAACCACCGTTCCGAGGCGTCGCTCCGAAGCAGAGAATGATCTCCCGAGTCCCCTCATGACACGACAGCCACCGAACACTCTGACACGGCAGGTAAGTTCCACATGTTTGGGGAGTCAGAGCTGTCGTCAGAAAAGCCACCGTCCCTTTTGCGAATAAGCCATGGACATCAAGCCACGTGGTGGGGTGTTTCTAGATGATGTAACGAGTAACAAGTCTAATTGGGTGACGAAAAGATTTAGCGAATGCTGCACCTGAGTGAGTTGTTTATGCTGGTCGCACAAAATCATGTGTGGAATAGTCTGGCAACAAAATATATTCTCATATACCTCATTATTGTTGAGCGCATGGCACATACGCAAAAGTCATCCCATATCCTATGTTAGCACGTCCATTCATACACGAATATGCACCTCTTCTCGACCTGTAACTATGTACAACAAGGCAATGAATAGCAGGTGTTGGAGAAACATGTCTCCGCGGGGAAATGTCACCCTCTAGGTAGGCCAAAACCAAGTATTTGGCAGGATACAGGTGGTGTTTCCATTACACGTCTTGGTGCTCTCGTGCCCACAGCACAGTTGTATCATGTGTTGGATTCCGGTCCGTAGTATGATACATGGCACCGCCGCCCGAGGAAGTGTACAGATGGATGTAGCACATGCTATGATGCACCTCGGTAGAACTCTTCGCAAAGTGGGGCGGGGATGGGGAGGGGGAAAAGGGGGGGGGGACGAAAGGGGGTAGGATGTGAGAGGGAGGAAGAAGATAGTAACAGGCATAAAGAAATTGGCAAAAGTAAAGAGGGAGTGAGAGAGGACGGGGGGGGGGGGCGGGGGGTTTAGCTGGGGGGGGGGGGGTTAGCTGGGCAGGAAGGTGAGAAAGGGGGGGAGGAAGGCAGGGAGCAGGTAAAAGTGTTTAAGTGGCATACCTTGACGGAGCACAGGGGATGCGAGTGGAGACACACTCTGTCAAGCCATGAACTCACTGAACTGCATCTCCTGTGAAAAAAAAAAAAAAACAGATAAAATCAGTGCGAGACGGATCCAAATTCAAAAGGATCCGATGCCAGGATTCAGAAAATCAGAGAGCTGGGACCTTGCTGCTGCTGCGTGCAAGCAAGCAGCAGACGGGCTGGGGTAAACAAACACTCAGAAACACCGTTGCACCAATCCATTTACAAACAGAGGAAATGCAGTTCGAGAAATGCACACAAGACAGCTGCACTTCTGCCGAGGAAAGATACATTCACGATGTGGGACTCTCGGGGAATGGTGGAGTGATCCCCCTCTGTTGGATTGCACCAGCAGAAGCGTTTCACCCTAGGAGCCAGGACCACCCTATTTCCACCCTCGCAACCACACTGAAGTAATTCCACCCTGGGAGCCAACACAAATAATACCAAGCAGCACATGCCACACTGCCACCCACCTTGCTGCACACGGGGCAGAGGTTCGACCGCTCCATCCACTCGTAGATGCACCCCAGGTGGAAGTCGTGGCCGCATTCAGTGCTGATGCGCGGGTTGTCCTCCGTGTAGGCTGAACAAGGCGGGGAGGAGGGGGTGTGTGGGTGAGGGGTGCGTGAGGGAACGTCCCGCCCTTGTGGCAGAAAACTTGCCACAAAGTTTTTGTACGGTCAGGATAGCCGCAAAGGAATTTTCGGACACTCGTGTACGCTAAGAAGGGCAACTAACCTACTCGCCACAAAATCTGCCATAAGGGCGGAACGTGCCGTGAGTAGAGGAGGGAATGGAGGGAAAATGATAAAACCATGCAGCGGCAAGGCAAGGGAAAACAAAAAGAACGAAAAAAGCATCCGAGCAGCCAAGGAGCATGCAAGGTACGAACCTTCCAGGCAGGTGGGGCAGCAGTCCTCATCTGCAAGGGACGTGGACGATGCTACCCGAGAGAGGTACCACGACAAAGCAGACGATGGCGCTGCTGCTGCTGCCGCTGCCGCTGCCACTGCCGCTGCCCCAAACGTTTTGTCACCTGTATTACCACTGCCGCCACCAGCACCACTGCCCCCTCCTCCCCTGCCCCCACTGCCATTGCCCCCATTGGCAGCACTAGCACCACCAGCACCAATAGCACCACCGCTACCACCACCATCAGCAGCACTGGGAAACCCCTCCGTCCCTGGCAAAAACGCCATGCCAGACATACCAGGGCTTTCAACCTGGAATGGAGACATGGATGTTGGAGAGAACGACAATGACCCACCCATACCACCACCACCGCCACCACCACCACCACCACCACCACGAGCAGCAGCAACATCACCACCACCACTACTACCAGAAGCACTAGCAGTTGAGCTTGATTCATGCCTGGAGCGCATAAGAGGTACCCTCGAGCTGTCCCTGTCCCCCCTATCGTCACCTGCCACACCGGCAGCAGCACCGGCAGCAGCACCAGCAGCGGCGGCAGCAGCTGCAGCAGCAGCCGAAGCAGCAGCGGAACCAGCCGCAGCGGCTGCTGCAGCAGCGGCAGCCGCAGCTGCTGCCACCCGTCTCTGTAGAAACGGAACGGAGGGGGGACGGGAGTCAAGAGTCTCGCCACGAATACTGCTGCTGCTGTTGTTGTTGTTGCTGCCACCGCTGCTGTTGACAGACCCAGTTGGGGCGCTATCTTTTCCTGTCAAGCACATTCTCTCACTGCTCCCGGCAGCGGCAGCACCAAATTCTGCAGCAGCAGCGCCACCAGACGCACCAAACCCACTTCCACGCCCCCCCTTCTCCCATCTACTCTCCCCCACACTGGAATCCTCTCCCAACCCTCCCCCTCCACCCCCTCCACCCCCTCCGCCCCCTCCGCCCCCTCCCCTGCCGCCCCATCTCGGCCAACCAGCATCCCTGGAATGCGCCCCCCCCATGTCATAGGAGAAGGGAAGAGGGGGAGCAGGAGCACGGAACGTATCTGGAAACGGCTCAGAGGAAGAAGATGGTAGGGAGCGAGACGAGGAAGAGGAGGGGGACGGGGAGGAGGAGAAGGTGCTTCCATGGTGGTGGTGGTGGTGGTGAGAGGGGGAGGAGGAGGAGTAGGAGGGGATAGCAGAGGAGGAGGAGGAGGAAGGGGAGGAGGGAGAGGGGCCGTGCAGGGGCGTGGAGGAGGAGGAGGGGTCTGACGGGTCGGGAGGGGGACGCCCATCGATTTGAGCACGGACCCTGACGTACTGTGGGAGGGAAGCGGGGGCCGGAGGAGCAAGGCTAGTTTTGAGGCGGCTAAAAAATAGAGCCATCAATCTAAGCACGGACCGTGACATGCTGGGGGAGGGAGGAGGGAGGAGGAAGGAGGGAGGAGGGAGGAGGGAGGAGGAAGGGAGAGGGGAGGGAGGGAGGGAGAAAGGGGGCGATTGGAAAATGGACACTGATGTTGAGCAAGAGAAATTCAGGCCAGGTGTCAACAAGCCAGGTGAAAATCAAACGGAGATGCCAAAACAGAGGTGAACAGCTATGGTGAAAACCCAACAACGACTACCCCTTAAAACAGTTGAGGAGGCCACACCAGTGAATGAGCAAGCAAGCAAGGCACTTACGGACTGAAGCAGCCAGCGAACGAGGCAGTGCAAACACAAACACTGCTGCAACAGCAGGCACCGAGAAACAGCCCCTCCTCCCCCTCCTCCTGCTCCTCCCCCCCCTCCTCCCATGCGGCCGCTGTTGCCAGCTCGCCCAGAGGAGCCGTACCCCCCCACCTCGTCAAAGTCCTCCAGCCGCGGGCAGCAGCACAGAGCCCCCATGCCTGCTGCCACGCGCAACAGTGAACGTGGTTGCGGCAGCAGCAGCAGCAGCAGAGGATGGCACTGAGGCGGAACGCAGCCCCGCTTGGCGTGAACAGGCGGGTCTTGCGGAGGTGCTGTGCTGCTGGTGTACGTGTGGTGGACGGACGAGGGGAAAGTGAGGGGGGAAGTGGGATGAGCGGAAGGGGCAGGGGGACGGAGAAGGGAAGTCGTGTGGAAGAGAAGTGGGGCGGAAGGAAGAAACGGGGAGGAAGTGGTGTGCGTGAATGAGGCGGGAAGCGCGGATAGGGCGGTCGGGCAAAGGAGGGAATGCGAACTTTCCTAGAGGCAAGGAGCACCGGAATCTGGTAGCAGAGAGGAAGGAGACAGGTAGCAGGAATTGTACGTTTAATGCTTGGGACAAGCAAGCAGCCGACACATGTGCATGCTGCTTATAACGAAGCATGAGCCACGCAAGCATCGCAGGCAGAATTCAATATACAGCCACTCGTCTGAGACACTACACGGACGCTATATAGCTCTAAAGTACGTGTAAAGGCACGGCCTTGGGAGAGAGTGATGAATAACCCTAATTACCCTCGCTTGCTGTCTGGGAACGCCTGGAACCGTCTATAAACGGCTTTTGAGAACGACATATAGAGCAGACGCATGCAATGAGTATTAAGTACAGCCGCCAGACATAACGCACGACACACGCAAGTGCAGCGCTGTGGTACGACTTGTGGATGCGTCTGGTCTCAGAATTCAATGACCCAGAATTATGAGAACAAACGGAACAATATTATACAGAATTCAGTACACTACACGTCTGATATATCAACGACGAACAATGTTTACGCGCTCTAAGAAGTGGGCGGAACTAAGGGGTAACCACCAGGTGGATTCGGAAAAGAGGACGGAACTACAGGCGTCTTTTAGAATTCCCAGAAATCACCCGAGGCAACCAGCAGCAGCAGCAGCAGGATACAACCCCAGCGATGATCACGAGAACGCCGAATAGCATGAAACTGGAGAGCCGCGAATCCTCGAATTCTACAGACGGCACCCGACACGGCAAACGACGACAGCAGCAGCGGCGGAAGCAGCTGGAAAACGACGGTTTGAATCCCATACGGGCACTCGCCGGAAAACAGTGCACTAGTCTGTCAGCTAGACCAAGATGACTTTTGAGTCGACTCAAAAGTCAACTCGTCTGTCAGCTAGACCAAGTGACTCGACCAAGAACTAGAACCAGTGACTCGACTACTTGACTCGACTAGATCCTAGACTCGATACACACGAATCTGCATACCAGCACGGTTGATTAACTCGAGTGAATAGTCTTCTAAAATCACCAAATTCGCCTTGTCTTGTCCCCAATAGTCGCCAAAAGTCCGAAGTCCAAAAAATTAGCACACACCTACTCACCTTACCTACTCGCCAGACCTACTCGCCAGACCTACTCGCCAGACCTACTCGCCAGAAGTGCACCCACCAGGCAATCAGTCAGACGAAAGCGATATGGGGACAACTCAATTGGCCGGCTGTTCGTTCAGGCCGGCACTTCACTTGGCCGGTTCACCCGGCCGGTTCGCTCTGCAACCCGGCACGAGGCCGCTACTAGTCGACGAGGCTCCTAGTCGAAGGGGGAGCGGTGGAACTGGCAAGAGGAGGGGTGCAAGAAGCGGATTCCGCGCCAGGAGGAACGTAAGAGTAGGACTGACGGAGGGGGATTCTATGTGGTATTTTTACCCTAGTCAATGCTCCCTTATTGCTCTCTTACTGCCAAATCTAATCCTGTCCAACAAGTCTGGGGCTCGTCCGGAGCTGGGATTTGAAACCGCGACCTTCCGCGTCAGACGAGAGGCATTCTGTTGCGTGCGGTGTGGTGTGGCGCGGCACCGAACTGAACCAGGAGTTTCGTTGAGGCCTGGCCTCTGGCTGTGCACGGAAGCGATATGATTGGTGGGATAGCTGCTAAGCCGAACCTGGCTGTTCAAGGTTCTCCCCGTGTAAGGAATTACGATTCTACTGCGCAAAATTACAGCGCGTACACCCGACAACCTCAACCTCGCAGGTTTGGCCTCGACTGTCGAACCAGACCTCCCCGAGTCGCGTTCCGACACCCTCGCCACCCGTCCAAGCCTCCGCACGTCCCGAGGTTCTCGCCCTAGCACGTACGAGCCCTACTTTAGCCAGTTTGCTCGTCACTTGCTCGATCAATTATTATTCCTATATTGTATTTCCTTTAGCCACTCACAACACTAGGTATTCTGAGCCACTTTCTTCGCGCATAGCTTCAGCCTGCCCGAGAATTTTCTTTGGGGGGGGGGGGGGGGGATGGCTGGTGGGCCGCGGGGCTGCACAGCGGTTGGTTCAGAGCTAATTGGTTAGCTCGTCCGACTAAGGCGTGTGCGCTCCCTTCGTCACCAGACCCCTGCCTTTGGACGGCCTGGATTGGTCGGGTCCTCCTTCCCCCAAGGAACGGACAGCTGTGGCTGTCACGACATTTATTCATTACGTGATTGGTGAATAGTGCATTTACTTCGGTGGGTTTTGTGTGACAAACATGCGTTATCAGTAGCAGCACTTGACAAGATCCTACAGCGCGTTCGTCGGGCGACTGCGACGACGGTTGAAGAAAAAACAAGAAAAACGAGCCTTCCTATCGCGCGGCAACCTCAAGGAAACGCCAGGGAATTGTGGCCGCCAGGAGTACACGGGATAAAGCGCGAAGGGCGCATGTGACGTCTTGTTCTTTGCTCCGGTATTTATGGGAAGAAGACGGCGCGCGTGCCAACTTCCGAAAAAAAAAATCAGATATTGCAACCCTCGGCTAAATGACTAGATTTCAACGGCTATGGGGATCGTCACTGACAAAATCGTCATTAACTGGCAGCCGAACTTCACAGAGGGCCGCCGATTCTGTTCTCCCACGCCGAGCAGAGTTTTCACCTAACCGAAGGGGAAACTCATGTTCGAGGAAACGACCATTGCCCCTGAAGGAAACAGGGAGTACGGACGCAACAACAGAGTTTCTACAGTTTATGGAGCAGCATCAACGCGTCCCCCTGAGTCACCGAGTGGAAGCGGTTTTCGAAACTTAGCGGAAGATGGACGCCAGTCCAAAATCACAAATCCGGCCTTCAATCCAATCATTACGGTAACGCCATCGGTGCTTATGCCCACGACCCGCACGAGGTCGACACCGATGGCGTTGAGGTGAGACAGAAGTAGAGAGAGCAGAGAAGCAGCGTCGGCCTTGTCGACGCTCAGCAGGGCCAGGTATTCGCAGACGAGATGGTTCTCGCGGATGAAGCGCGCAAACACGATGAGGTGCTTGCCGCAGCAACGGTCTGTGCTCTCATCGATGCTCAAGCCGATGAACGGGCTCCTCAGAAGGTGGTCCAACAGTATTGTCTGCAACCAGATTGCCATGGACTGTGTGAACTCCCCATACCCATGACTGCAGCAGCAAATAGCATACGCGTAATTAGTACGTTGAAATATAAACCTTTGTCACACATGCAAAAAAAAAAAAAAAAAAACAAACAAACAAACAAACAAACAAAGACGACGCCATCTTTTTAGGGTTGCGGAGCTTATTTGATATAGATATATGAATTCTGTTTAAATTAACTCGTTTAAGCTAATTATCGAACTCCAAAGCGTAAGTATCTGTTAACATATAATAATGGATTAGTACATATACTATGTTAAGTATTCAATAGACATTTCTGTCGTAAAAGTACAAGAAATCGCAATGTTCACGCATCTAATACAATTAGTACATACGATTGACCTTATACATATATTTATATTGTATGCAATTGGGTTTTAAATTATTCATCTTGCATTACTATTCCAAACTCATGCCTGGCTGTTTGAATTGGTTCCTTTTGTTGTTCGTTCATGCTTGTACAGTTTTCTTGAATAGTTTTGCTCCTTATTGTTCCTGGGGCAGGTCTTTCCCAGTGTCGAGGAGGCACGAAGGCAGGTTCGGAAATACGGTCGCCAGCAAAGGTTTGAGCCACACTTTCATTGCAATAGGGCTGATTGTTTTGATATGCACTGTCGGTCAATGAAGGGCATTGAATGGCATTGAATGGCTTGTTGATGGGGCGACGCCACCCTTTCCGTATCTATGCCCGGGGGCCTAGGAGGGGAAAAATAGAAGTTAGGGAGCTAGAATCGGACCATGCAGGTATGTGTGTCATTTGCCCTGTGAGGATCACCATAGAGGAGGTGAAGGACATTGCACGCGTGTTTGTTACGCACGGCACCATAAAACTCATGGACCTAAAAGACAAGGTCAGAGAGGTGCTTGGTGTGTCATGTTTGTACAACACCGCACACCGTGCACTCCAGCAGTTGGCTGAAGAAGATGTACTAGGGGGGGATGTGGGGTTCCAGTTTTTTTAGAGTCTGCTGGGTAGATTTAAACAGCTAAACCCCTCTTCTCTTGTGTCCATGGTGAAGGAGGAGAACCGATTCTTTCGCGCTGGTATGATTTTTTTCTGGAGTGCGTAACGCAGTCCTGAACCGTCTCCCGATAGTTTTTGCAGACAGCTGCCACAACAAGACGAAGTGGCGTGGCCAAACTCTGAACTTGTGCGCACTGGACAATCAGCATGACATTGTCAACTTGGGGATGGCTTGGGTGGAGGGAGAGACCAAAGAAGCATGTAGCTTCATTTTTAAGCTGTTGCTCTAGGTTGTGCTAGAGGTGGACTCACCTAAGTTTGTTGTCATGCATGATCGTGGTAGGGGATGGACTGCTGCTGCAAATGAGGCTCTCCCGCTTATGAGAGAAGCGATTTGCATCACACATTTGATTCGGAACTTCACCGCGAAGTTCGGTTCAGATTTGAATGGGAAAATCGAGGCGGCAGCGAGTGCCTTGTCAGCAGAGGTATTTTCGCAGTTGAAGGGAAAAAATCGAGAAGGAGTGCTCTGGGGGAGTTGCCTACCTGATAAAGGATGGGCTATCCAAGAAATGGGCAACCACAAAAATCGGGGCAGCGCGTTATGGCTGCTACTCTTCCAACCCTGTCGAGTCAAGCCATGCGACGCTCAAGGGCTTGTGGAGGAAGAGCCCATCCCAGGTGCTGCTGGCGGTAATTGGGAGGGAGGCAGTCTCAACATTTGGCGTATTTATGTTGACATGAGCGAGGGGCAGCTGCTCGACGAGATTAATCGCATTGTTCGGGAAAACGCCAAGTGTGGGATGTCATACACCGCCGAGCAGGCTAGAAAGAAGATTGTGGAGCACCCTGATGGGAGGAAGACTCCCCAGCAGACCTTCAAGGTGACGCGGAGGACCGGGAGGGAGACACGCCAGGTGAAGACGGATGTCAACAATCCAGCGGGCATCACGTGTTCCTGCGGGTACCCAAGGTAAGTTGTGGGCTTTTGCATGTTTGTGTTCTCTAATAATGGAACAAGGATGCAAATCTGCCACTAATAAACCACACATCTGTTTGGCTCATCCCTTTATATTTGCTATCCCTATGCAGCGAATATAGGTTGGCGTGTGTCCACAGATTCGCAGTTTACAGGGACACACCAGAGAAGGCTCATAAGGTTATCACAAGGTACTACAAGGCAGGGGCACTGAAAAAGGTGTACGCCACACCAGTTGTGCCCCTCGACCCCACCGAGGAGACCCCCGATGGCACAAGCCTTCCACCATTGTATCCTAAGAAGGCGGGACGGCTGCGTGTGAAGCGCCTCTGAAGTTTCGGAGAGGTGGATGGGGAGAAGATGAGGAAGTGTGGGAAGTGTGGAGAGAAGGGGCACAACATCCGTACCTGTGATTTAAGGGCAGCATAGAGAGTAGCATGGGAGGAGATGCAGACGCCTCTAGGCCACGCGCAGATGCAAACCTCCACGATTCCCACCGGTGAGGTACGTGTTTCAAAGTGTAGTGTATGTGGGGGACTGCATCGTGAAGGGATTAGATGCGAGTTCATGCAGAGGAGAGAAGCGGAGGCTAGGAGATGCAATGATAGGGATCCGCAAGGTCATGGTGTGGACCATGAGAATGACAGAGATGAATGTGATAGCCAGGATTATGACAGCTCAGATGACACCGACGATGACTGAGTCGATGAGGGGAGAGGGGGACTGCACAAGGGGGGGGGCAAGAGCATGACCTACCACAGCAGCAAGGTGGGGATGAGGGGCAACAGCGGCATGTGGGGCAAGGGCAGGGATGAGTGCAGGGTAGGGGGCAGGGATGGGAGCAGGGACGGGGGCAACGACGGGGGCAGGGACGGGGGCAGGGTATGGGGCAGGGACGGGGGCAGGGTTGGGGGCAGGGTCGGGGACAGGGTCGGGGACAGGGTCGGAAGCAGGAACGGGGGCAGGATTGCGGGCACGGACGGCAGCAGAGCGGGGGGCATGGTCGGGGGCAAGGACAGGAGCGATGGCAGGCTCAGCAGCCGGGAGGGGGTATTGAACAGGGGCAGGTGCCATACGGGCAGCAGGGACAAGGGCAGCCGCAGCAGGGGCAGGGACCAAGGCAGCATCAGCGGCAGCAGGGACCATGGCATCAGCAGCAGCAACAGCGACCAGGGCAGCAGCAGCAGCAGCTGCTGCTGCTGCAGCAACAGGGACCAGGGCAGCATCAGCGGCAGCGAGGACCATGGCATCAGCAGCAGCAACAGGGACTAGGGCAGCAGCAGCAGCAGCAGCAGCTGCTGCAGCAAAAGGGACCAGGGCAGCATCAGCAGCAGGGACCAGGGCAATAGCAGCAACAGGGACCAAGGCAGCAGCA